AGTAGAGCTATTGGTCTGATATTGTTTAAATTAAAGTGCCAATTTGCATCTTTTGGTATTACAACTTTGTTTTACAGCTTTTGGTTGTTGGGTGAGAGTTCTATCCAATGATTATACAATGGAAGGACCTGCAATTTAAAAGTTTATAAATATATATCCAAATAAACTTTTTTATGTAATTGACTCAGCTAATAGTGAAATTTTTTGTAATTGTACCAAAAAAATTATTACCAGATTATGAATAAGACATCAAAGAGAAATTTACAATAAAATTTAAATTTGAGAAAGATAAGTTAGAAATTAGCAAATATATTAGAGTATATGCGAATTTATATTTTAGTTTCAAAACAAAACAAAAAATTTTAACATTAGTCATGCCTCTTAATACCTATTTCTTTAATCCAATTTTTATACTGAACTATGAATTTGATACCAGAAATATAAACACAAATATCGACTCCTCCATCTTTACTGCTACTAAAATAATAAAAATAATAAATATATATATCATCATTATCAAAAACATAAAAGATTATCAGACTTATATTTGTGTATCCTATTCACTATGAATTCTGGCAAAGCATGCATCATTTCCAGAACATCTGAAACTGGAAAGAACGTTTAACTGCCAAAGCAGTTGGTCATGATGTGCTTTTAATTCCAGATTATTTATACAGATGTGGCAGCATAACTTCAGATATACAATAACTCTACAAATAACTTAATGAGACTCACCCTATATATATGAATTGTATTTTTTTCTTAATAGCTCTTCAATAATAGCAAATTTAAACTATCTGCCTTTAAAGGCAAGATTAATAACAAAAGATGTATTAGAATTCATTTTTTAATGTTAATTTTAAATTTTTAAACATTCTACTTAGCCATTAAATATTAATTTACTCCCTATTCGAACTAAAACATATTAAGAGCATTAAAATTTTATTTGTTCATTAATAAGACATGTAGGAATCAAATTTTTTACTATTCAATATAATAATCAAACTATTTGTACTTACGTTACTAATACTAAGGCATGTAGGAATAAAAGTTTTTTACTATTCAATATAACAATTGAACTATTTGTATGAATATTAATTATCTAAATATGATTAGATACAAAATTTAAAGTTTACTATTACATTAGCTAATCAAATTGATTTATAAAGAAAAAGTATTTTTTCACAATTGTAACATGCTAAATGTTCGTCTTCATGACGTTAAATTAATTAGAAAATAAAATTAATAAATTTTATTGTTTATATTATAAAATGCTTGCAATTACGATAAATAAAATAAAAATAAAGTTGGCCAATAAAGATTTTTTAATACTCTGGTGTGAATATGTTTAATTCGTGTAGATCTTAAAATATTTATATTTACTAACGAAATAACTTTAGACGTCTAAAATGAAAAAGAGACTAAATAACTAAAGTTAAAGAGTATTTAGCTTAAATAACAAAAGATATATCATTATCACAAGTCAAATAACTTAATCATATTACTTTGTTATTATTATTTTTTAAAATTTACTACTTAGTAATACTACGTTAGATGAACCAAGACTTAAAACAAATAACACTGAATCAAATCAATGAATTTACTAAAATTCAAAGATTATTTAAAAAGCTGCTTGAAGCATTACTGAAATAAAAAAAAAAATCTTTCTTCAAAAAGAAAAACTCCTACAAGGATATATCAAAAGGAGAAAGATACCAACAACTACTAAGGAAACTATACAAATAATTAAAACAATTAAAAAAATATTAAACTTTCTTCAACAACCATTTAAATAAATAATCTAAGTTACTCATTAAATTAAATATTATAACAAAATTTTCAGAAACAGTCAACATATATATTTATGCAGATTGAACCTAGCTATTATTGATTAATTATTATTTTGTTCTTGTATCATAGTATAATATATTTACTTTTATGACAACAGTTCTTGATATGTGCCTTGTTCATGTACTTTAACGTCCTTTATCACAAATATAACATCTATATGTTGAATTGTTGATAATCGATGTGTTATAGCCAAAGCTTTTTTTAAAAAAAAAATCTAGTTAATTTTATACAGATCTAACCAAATAATACATTAGATGCAGTAAACTCACTTGTTCTGCCTGTGGCAGCAATATCTAAAGCCTTTTGTACAGCTATTTCTGAACCAGAATCTAGTGCTGATGTTGCTTCATCTAATAATAAAATTCTAGGATTTTGAATAAGTGCTCTTGCAATTGCAATTCTTTGCTTCTAACTATCTAAAAGTTGTATTCCTTTTCTATCAACATGAGTATCATAACCATCAGGTAAACCTATTATAAAATCATGAATATTTGCTTTACGACTAGCATTTTTGATATCTTCTTGAGTTGCTTGTTGTCCTGGTCGACATCCAAAAATCACATTTTTTCTTAATCATCATATCATATAAAGATGGTTCTTAACTAACCAATGCAATATTTTCTCGAAGATTTCAAATATTTAAGGCAGAAATATCTATTCCATCAATTTTAATTAAACTAATAATAGTAAATTCTTAATATATCTTCTTCACGAGTAAGAGCAGCAACAGTTCAAATATTTTTAGTACTCTCACAAGCAAATTGAGCAAATCTTTCATATACCTTTTTAGTTTTTTGTTGGAAGCCATTCAACATTTTTATACGAAAAATACCTGACCCAATCATCACAGATATACAGCTCATACAAACTAAAACAAACTTCCACCCAACTATAAGAGCTAAAATCAATCGACCAAAAACTGTAAAACAAAGTTGTAATACCAAAAGATGCAAATTGGCACTTTAATTTAAACAATATCAGACCAATAGCTCTACT